CCCGCAGGAACCCGAGAATGAGGGGATAGAGGTCGCTGGGAAGCACGCGAGCGTCCGCCATGCTCTAGGCGACCACAACACAGCTTCTTGCCACTAGGCCACCAGAGCTCCCTCGGTGCTGTTGGGTCGACCACTACTCATAGCGACCCTGTAACAACCCTTCTGAACACAAGCCTCAGGATCTGTCATGCTCACTGCCCACTCTTGCAGCCAGCCACTGTGTCAAGCCATTGTGTGGAGGAGGGTCATGCTCTCTATCACTGATCCTCTATCTTCCCAAAAACCTTCAGGAAAAACATCAAAATCATTGAAACAGGAAAGTCCTGATAGCATTGTACTGGAAAAGGAGTGGTCACGTGGATTCTTGTACGCCGAGGTCGCGGCTCCTTTAAGGGGGCGTGGTTCGCAGTTAGTCCCGCCCCCTGAGCGGCAGGCAGAAGAGGCGGTGATCGTTCGTGACGTCATTAAGCTGCGACGGACGCTCTCCGCCCAGTGTGGTTCCGTAAAACCGAGCTGAGAGTCTAGCGGGGTTTTCAGACTTTGCAGCCAAAGGTGGGTTCATGGCTCGCCGAGATCACAAGAAGCTGGGGCGCCGCCTCGCCTCGTCCAGTCTCAGGGGCCCGTGGGCTCTCTGTCCCCGGGCCAGACGGGATGGGTTCAGTATGAGGATGCCGACACAGCGCCTACTCGAGCTGTCTCCTTCAACCGTCAGACAAGGGCTTATGCGGCCAAGAGATCCAGACTGTTAACAGCCTTAGGAGTCAGCCCAGCGGGAGGGAACGAGAGAGAAGGCACTGGGGAAAAAAAACAAAAAACAAAAGCCCTTATTTATTAGCTATTAGACCTTCGGGTTACATCCTCAAAGCATTGTTGTTCTTATGTGCCGTCGAATCGGCTTGCGACTCATCCAATCCGACTGCCATCCAGTCCTTGGAGAAGAAAAATGTCATGCTTGGGAGGTTGGAGGGACAGCGCAGGAGAGGAAGACCCTAGATGATATGGATTGATTTTCAGTGACTGGGGTGGTGGGGGTAGGTGTGTCAGAGACAGTGAGGTTGGCACAGGATAGAGCAGGGTTTAGGGCTGTTGTACATAGGGTCGCTGTGAGTTCCAGGCGACTCGACCGCACATAACAACAGCAACTGCCATCTAGTTGATTCTGACTCAGTTTACCCTACAGCTTAGAACTAATCCTCGGGTTTCCGAGATTGTAAATCTTTAGGGAAGCAGACTGCCCCCATCTTTCTTACAGAATGACTGGTGGGTTGGAACTGCCAACCTTTGGGTTCACAGCCTAGTTCTTTAACTCTGGACCACAGTGCACTGTCGAGGATATTGTGCTTCTCAGAGCCCTGCCTGTGGCGCGCTCGAAGCATGTGAACCATGAACTGGCCGAGATTGTTCTCAAAGTCGGCAGATAGGTCTATGGCCTGTGAGTAGGCTCTAGTTTTACCCCTGTGTTGCGCAAGGGAAAACTGAGACTTAAAGCGATTAAAAATAGTGCTTTGTAAATAATACGAGAATGAAGGGTTAGATTGTTAAGGAAATGGGAGAAGTATGTGAACATTTCAGAAGAGATGGTTCCAGCACACCAAGGGAAGCTTTCCTGTGAACTTGGACGGCTCAGTAATGACAACTCATTTGATGAATCACAACTAACACATTGTTCAACTTTGAAGTTTGCTTTTCAGGTCATCAGAGCCACGCCATGTCGATAGTTCGTTCTTCAGTCCATGCCAAGTGGGTGGTGGGAAAGGTGATTGGAACAGCCATGCAGAAGACGGCCAAAGTGAGAGCCACCAGGCTTGTTCTGGATCCCTACCTGTTGAAGGTGAGGAGGTCCCTGTGTTCAGGGGCCGCTGCCAGAGCTCCTTCATGCTCCAGGCAGCTCAGCAGGAAATCACCTCTCCGTGGGTCATAGCGGTTGGTGCATCTCTCAGGTCCACGTGTGTTGTCCTGCTCTGTGGTTGTAACTAACTGGATTAGTCATGATCTCCTTGTGTTCCCTGGAAACATAGCTCATTTCAAATCATTGTGATGCTGCTACAGTCGTACAGTGAAATCTGTGAGAATCAGAATCAATGGGACTGCTGTGTGTTTCCGGGTCTCACGTTTTCCACCTTTGACAGGGTGCAGTCCTACACGTTTCCCCGTGGCTCATGTTGTTATGTGCCGTCA